AGGAGCGGGACCAGAGCAGCCACCCGTGAGGTACCCCACAGTCTCTTGCTCGAATTTTAATTATTTTAGATTGACCAGGATATACTTAAGAAAAAGACATGGAGACAAATTTGTTGTTTGTTAAAGTTTTGGATTTATTTTCTATAATCTAGACCTTTACTTTCAGTACTATGTATGCATATTATGTGTGCGTGTGGGTGCGCGTGCATTTGCGTGTGTGTGTGTGTGTGACCAACTTCTGGTTGTGTCAGAGTAACAGCCAACACACACTCTAATAATTACGTTTGTTTATGTTGGCAGATCCTCAAGGCTAGTCCCCCCCAAGTCATTTGTTTCAATACAGTGGCACAAATATTGTCGTGTTTTTTTTTACACTAGAATAAAAAATACCAAATCTATAATAATACTGCAAGAAATAACGATGTTTAAACTTAGCCTCAGGAAAAATAATTTTTTTTCTTCACAAGGAAGTTTTTTGTTTGTGTATGTAAGCTGGTCACGATCCTCGCCTTTTTGTAGTTGTGTCCCGATAGTGAAGTAACTCCTCCCCCTCACCACAGCCCAAATAGAAATATTTTGAATACAGTATAACAAAGAAAAATAAAACTTTCACGGCCGCTGTCTCGTTTAAAACTTTGCCTCTGTTAGGTTATCACCGGCTACAAAAATAATTTCTAAGCCACTTTTCAGCAAATTTTCTTAAAGAGAACAAGAGAAAAGATTTTTAGAGAAACGTTTTACATATGAATTATTATTCGAGTAATTGCATCTTACTAAAGACTCTTAAATGAAAATAATACTAACTAATAATAAACTTTTCTTAGGGGGACCGTGATAGTTTATTTTTACTACCTTGGCTTTTGTTGCATTTTAAAGCCTTTGTTTATCCAATGAACCTTTAAACAAAATAATAAACATTGAATCATTGACCTGTACAGTACAGGGTTTAATAAAAAAAAATAGCGGGGTGTACTTTTTTTAAGCCGCTGGAATGTAGAGGTCAGAGGTACAGTGTATTTATTTTTGTTAGAATTTGGAATATTCCTATGAGAGGTGGGAGGAATATCGCTCCTGATATTACTCGTCCCATAACCTGGAATTTACTACTACCCCTTTTGAAGTTTACTCTCACTACTATTCAGTTTATTTTGAACAGAATTCGAAACACGAAACAATTAAGTATCATTCGAATCATTTTCACGAAAAGGAATATCATTGAAACATTGCTCGAGACACACTTCATAACAGATAGACAAAGTGTGTCTGTACAGAGTCAATAGGGCAAATATTAATAACATTGGCAATATTACAATACATACACGGTAACATTATCGAAAACGGAATTCCGTACTGCTAACTTAATGGGTTCGAATACCATAAGACACCCAAATTGATACCTACGACTGACTATGTATGTTGGTAATCTGTCGGTGTAATTTTTGCAATTCTGCCGAAGTAATCTGATGGAATGTCGATTTATAATGAGATGGTATTAAAGATTATGACACAGTGATATAAATATTGTCTACATATTACGAATTTCTGTGGGAGCAAAGTGCAAAAAGGGGCACTGCATTTATTAAGGTCGAGCCATTCATTACAGCCAGCCAGTGTGGCAAGATCATTCATTGAACTGAGATAATTCACCGTAGGAAGATTATTCATAACTGTAAGATCATTCACTGTTGTTCGATATTGTCTGTAGCATTATTGCACTAAGATCACTCCCATTGCACTGAGGTCATTTGCAACATGATCATTATTTTTGTATCCAGTGAAATAACCATGATGCAGTGAGATTCATCCTTGACCATTGCTTAAAAAAATAAAGAAAAAAAATATCCCTCCTCCCCTCACACTGCAGTGGCATACAGACAGACAGCCAGACAAACACATCATCCATTGTCTCATCTTCAGGTGATAAAATGGGTTGAGATGACATCCCAATTACAACGGTGGTGGGGGTCACATAATACCCTCTGCACGGACCCCCACCAGCCCATCCTCCCCTCCCCAAAAAAAATAATTGTAAAACAAAAAATTGTTCACTAAACGATGAAACGACAACGAAACACAAACGAAGTGGTTCACTGATTGGACTTCAACCCTTCAGCCCAGTAACTGATGAGAGGAGGACAGAGTTGAAATTGAAGGAGGGGAGGGGGGGTTAGGGGTGGGGTGGGGTGGGGTGTGGGTATTGGAGTAGATTCATGGATGGATGGGATGGGTGGGATGGGTGGGTAGTTTCGGTGGAGGTAAATGGGATGGGTTAAATTAATGGGGGAGATAAGAGGAGGGGAGTTGAGATAGAAGCTTAGGGGAGGGAAGAGGTGAAATGGGAAAGGGAAATGGGGAGGGGAGAGATGAAATGGGTAGGGGAAGGGTCCAGGTGAAATGGTGAGGTAAAATCAAGAGGTGTTTCTGGTTCGTGTTAAAAAGGGCAAATTTGGAAACGAAAGGGAGAGACTGTAATGGAAGAAGGAACAGGGGAAGGGGATGAGTGGAAATTGAAAAGGGTAGATTTAAACTGAAGCTCGTGAGTGAGAAGTAAAAAAAAAAGTGGGGGTTAGGTAATTATAGAAAAGGGGAAGTGTGATAAGGGTGAAAAGAGTATTACCAGAAAAGGTTAAAAAAAAAGTGTGAAAATTCGCGTGGTTGATGGTGGTATTCCCTACAACACCGAGAAACACGGCTGGTATTGAGGAGGGAGGAGGAGGAGTGTCAGGTGGATATGTATTACTTGCTGGTATACGAGGTGATCTCCGATGGTCGTATATGTCAGTGGTGTATCTCAACTCCTTCGACCCTTGCGTTATAGGACACAAAAATGGAATAGAAAGAGGGAGGGAGGGGGGAGGGAAGGAAGGGAGGGGGTAGAGGAGGGCGGAGGAAGATGGGAAAGGGGGAGGGGGGACATCACATCAGAAAACATGTTACGGTAAATTATTTTCACTTAATTTTCTTATCTGGAACAAGAGTTGATCTCACTGTCGCAAACCATGACAATAAAAATAAGATGACCACAGTAACCAGCACAGCTCCGGTGGTTCAAAACAAGAGGAATATTCCCAGGTGTAGCGAGCATCAGAGAGCCAATAGACACGTGGGCGTCAGGGAGCAAGACACTGACCTCTGACCCCTGACCTTACTGTGTAGTTCTTAGCATCACCAATTACGCAACAGATTCTCCCAAATTGGTTGATACAGACAACTGATATGATAAAGAGTATTTCTCAACGGCTGGGAGTGAACGAGAACAGCTACTGTCTATTACACTGACAGTAGATGGATCCGACTGGTTTTTTTTTCTGTCGAGTCACCATCCCTTAGTGCTTGTTGAGTTAGTCACCAGCTGGTTAACAGATGCAGGTGTGCTTATTAGTGGTCTATGTAAGCAAGTGTGTTCTCATGGAACTTGTTATTGGTCTTTAAATATAGGTGTGTGTGTGTGTGTGTGTGTGTGTGTGTGTGTGTGTTAATGGTCTCGGACTCTCCTCAGAGTCTCCATACACAGGTAAAGCCATAATTTTTCCCACAGTGGTCACCGTCTTCGAGGATAATCATACCTGTAATTCGGGTCACTTGTTTACATGGAAATAGCCGACTCTCTGACGTTCGCGGGAATTCCCCTACAACAATGGCATTTTTTTTTTCAGGGAAAGATAAAAATGCTGGTGTGAGAATTTCTCATTTACAGTCAATAAATCATTACAATATTAATACAGATGGTATACATCTATGTATAGACATAATCTGTATAATATTTCACTCATCTCATGCACACAACAGTTTTAGTTTTGCAGTATTATAGTGACAAAAGGCCCACTCAGAACACACAGTAAGAAACGACGCCTTCATAGACAACGTATAGAAAGGAGTCAAGTTTGAAGCACTTTATTTTATTATTATTAAGAAAATCCACTTTGAGGTGTCACTGTCTCAGGAGCAGGGGACATTCTTCTTTGTTCTGTGAGACACTCCTGCACTACACTCCATGTCCTCCAAGCACTTACTTCTGCCCTTCAAGTTCCTTCATTACTGTTTCAAAGGCGTCTCGGTAGTGTCCCTCTTCCCTTGATTCATGTCTCTGGTCGGGATGTCTCTCGCTCTTTCTCGCTTTCCTTAATTTTCCTGATTTTGTATTTGTTTTTTGTTTCATATCTTCATTTCCCCCACTTTTTTATCAATGACGTTTCACTATTTTCTCTCTCTGTCAGTGATTAGTGTCTCAGTGACCAAGATGTCTTTTTTTTTCCAATTTTATTGTCTCTTTTGTTTCGTAGCTTCTTTCATTTCCTCACACGAGAACACTTTCCCCGTGGCTTAAAACACACAAACACACACTGTCTTTCATAGCAGTTGTCGTCAGTCTCTCAGTTATATATTTTCCTTTCCATTATAGACGAAAACACAACAAGGACATCATCATCATCATCATCATTATTGTTTTTTGGACTTTAATACACAACAACAAGAACAACAAAAGAGTATACTATTTTTTTCCCAGTGAACACAAGAGGCAGTTTAGTTTAATATTAATAATACAATTTCTCAGTGACAAAGTGGGTTTATGTTTCCTTATATATCATTATCCTGTTACTCGACACACTCACTCGCACACTTTTTGGTTCCGGCTGAATCAATGCTCTGGGCGCTATACAGTATATATAGTATATATATATATATATATATATATAACTCAGTATCACAGATCTGTACATCTTAGGAGTAGCTGGGAGACCGTCAAGGGGGGAGGGAGGGAGGGAGGGAGGGTTGTCTGACGGTGGAGGCAAAGGGAAAAGGAGAAGACAAGGGTGAGGAGGATGGGGTTATGTAGGATGGGTTTTGGGGTTTTTATTTAGTGTCTGATCAAATTTGCCTGTTTATAAACAACAAATGTAAAACACATCATTAGAAAAGGGTTAGGGGAAGGTGGGGGAGGGGAAGGTGGTTGTGTGAATAATGGTCTGATATGAATATTTCTTTTTTTTTTTGGGGGGAGGGAGAAAGTGTTTTAAGTCCTTCTTTCACGGGACCTTTGTTTACTATAAGTTGTTCCCCTCAAGGATATAAAATCTGGTTTATTTGGGGTCATTTACACCATGGCAATAACACACTCTCGGGTCCCAGTTTAAATAATTCTATAATTGCTAAACTTTTAAAGACCTAAACGACGTCACTAAGCCCTAGACCAGCGTCCCGGGCTTGATTTTGGTCTGGGGTGGGATGATGTATTTGCTGTGAAGCGCTGCAGAGTCAAGGTCGTGCGAGAGCTCCCTTTTAAGCTCCTGTTTGAGATCCTGTAGGAGAGCGTGTTTGAGCGTACCATTGACGCCACCGTTCCCGTTGACGATCTTGCCGTTGGAGGAGGCGTGGACCCTGCCGTTCATGCCGCCGTTGAGGTCGGTAGTGGTGTGGGGAGGAGGAGTGTAGGGGGGCGGCGCCACGGAGGAAGGCAGGGAGGAGGGAGGGTCGCTGGCTGGCGTGGAACGGGCGTAAGGTCCGCCCATCTGGAACTGAGCGTAGGAGTCGCCCACGGACACAGGCACGGGCGAGTAGTCCCTGGTGTAGTCCACGTAGGAGATGTAGCCCTGATCCTGTGGGGGAGGACACACAAGAATTATAAAGACAAGCTATTAACTTTAGTATTATTGTTTACATGTTAACTTCAACACTCGTAAATGCATAATTCCAGGTAACAATATTAAACCCCTATACACACGACTTTTCCATTACCTGAAAGCACTCAACACACATCCAGGTATAAAGCTACTGGAAATGTGGAGAACCAGAATTTTATAATGAATATTCATAAGTGAGTTCTGGACACCTGATAAATAATGTTTTCGGACATTTGGACACTAGCTAAATAACACGTACACAAAGGACACTCTTACTCGCGATGAATCATGACGCCAAGGACACGCCAAGGACACTCTGGACACAAGGTAAGAGATGAATTACTTTAAAAAAGGCAAATTCTGACTTTAAAAAGGGAGGATTTTAGGTAAGGGACACGCTTTTGAGACCTTCAGCAGCTAAAGACAAGAGAAGGAAGAGAATGATGTGAATAAGGAAGAAGAGGAGGAAGAGGAAGCCTACGATGAGGAAGGCTGATGTAGGAGAGGGAAGAAAGATGAGGACAAGGAAGGAGGAAAATGAGAGGAGAAGAAGGTGGAGCTCATTTTCCAGAGGCAGTAAGTGAGAGGAAGGCGAGGAAAAAATGATGGAAGAAGAACACGAAGAAGAGGAAGAAGAGACAGAAGGGAAAGAAGTGAAAGAAGAAGGCGAATACGAAGAAAACGTGACAGAGGATGAAGAGGGGGAGAGGGAGGTAGAAGACAAAAAAAAATGAAAGAGGATAAAGAAATGGGGGGAGAAGAGGAAGAGGAGGAAGAGATACTCACTGGAGGGGTGAAGACAGTAGATCCGACACTGTATCGAGCATGGGTGAGAGGTGCTGCCTGTGGATCCCTAGGAGAGGCCTTGCTGCTCTCCCTCTCCCACCCACTGTCAGAGTCCCTGTCAGCTGCCGATAGTGAAGACGACGTCCTGATCTCGGCGTCCTTCGCGTCTGATTCCTACAGGAGAGACACGAGAAAGGGATCCTTTTATACACATATTGTTTAGCTAGTGTCCAGATATGTCCTACCGGTATATATCAGGTGTCCAGATATATCCTACCGGTATATATCAGGTGTCCAGATATGTCCTACCGGTGTATATATATATATATATATATATATATATATATATATATATATATATATATATATATATATATATATATATATATATATATATATATATATATATATATATATATATATATATATATAACTTATATCAGTGGTCCAGATGTGTCCTATATACCAAATGCATTTATAAAGTAGGTGTCCAAACATCCTTTAATCGTCTCTGTCTCTCTCTAAGGGTCTATCTCTCTTTCTCTTACTCCAAATCTCCCCAAAACTCACCTGACCAGTGGAATGGTTGTCATGAGATGGGAGGAGGGATGGGGGCATCACCTTCAGTGCTGTGCCCATGGTTCCTCCGTCACCACCACCACCACTACCCACACCTCCAGAGCCTCCCATGCCTCTACCACCACCACCACCGCAACTCTTCTCTACCACCACAGTTCCAGCCTCTGCAGCCTTGTCCTTCGCTGAGCTGCCGCCGTTTTTCTTACGCCCACAGAGAATGAACAAGATAACGACGATGACTACAAGGACCACGCCCGCACCCCCGCCCACGATCACCATCAACGGCACCACGGCTGTAAGGGAGGAGAGAAGAGGACTGTATGATAAATATGAGAAGAGAGATGATAACGAAGGAGGCAAGAACAAGGCGCAATAACTGTAAGAAGAAGAAGAAGAAAGAGATGATAATGGAGGAGACAGGAGGAAGGCGTGATAATTGTAAGAAAAAGAAGAAATAGATGATAACACGGCAGTAAGGGAGGAAACAAGATGAAAAGGTGATAAATTTGAGAAAAAGAAAAAGATAATAACCGCGAGAATTAAGAAGATTATAATAAACACAGGTGTAGGGACAATGAGAATACAATAGCGTTAATATGAGAGACTATGGACAACTGCAGTACAACAGGTATTTCATGTGTCATATTATTAAAACATTTATCAGTTATTATTTGACTCTACTGTGCACTACTATCTTTCTATCCCCCTCACTCCCTTCTCCCACCCCCTCTCCCACCACCTGAAGGCAATAGTTGATTGGCTTTCTCTCACTCTTGGCCGCAGGTGATTGGCTAAATCTATCCCCCTCCCCCGGAGGCTGATGCTGACTGGCTAAGCGTATGATCTGGAGTCTCAGTGGCGTCACCTGATTGGCTCACCACCTCTGCCTTTCATCAATACTCAACAGATTTTTTGCATCTTAGTCGAATCAGGCAGTATATGTGTCTGTCTGTCTGAAATTTCTTAACATTGATGCATTAATAGTCAGGTCAGGTCATATGTTGTAAGACTAACACTAGAGTCTGTTTAGGATGGCCCAAGGGTGTTGGCTGACTGTATGAGTGTTATTAAAACTTTTAGTGAAGTTCTATGTTGTGTGTTTAGTGCTGTTAAGTGCGTTTAGAGAGTGTGTTATGATGTACTTGGAACTATGAGTCTTGGTAAAGTTGTTTGAGAAGTGTGTGTGTGTGTGTGTGTGTTTTATGTTTGTGGGTTACTGGGTCACGGCCAGTACTTGTAAAGCCATATATTTCTGTACGTGTAGCAATAAAGTTTTGTTTTGATTGAGTGATTGATTAAAAAAAAACAATTGACTCGGTTATAAAGGACCGACTGACTGATTAACTGAGTGGCTGAGCTAGTGACTGACTGACTGACTGATTAAGTGACTGATTAACTAACTAACTGACTGAGTTTGTGAGTGAGTGATTAAGTGAGTGAGTGACTATGTGAGTGACTGACTGACTGACTTACGTTGGTACTCATACTGACGCTACAGGAGGATCTTTATGGAAGTCGAGGCTGTAATGATTTCAGTAACTAAGTGACCAATAGGACTGACGGTACTCACGCTGGCGCTGAAGGAGTATCTGATGAGTATCCACGCCGTATTCATTGATCACGGAACAGTTGTAGGAAGCGAAGTCCCTGTGAGAGGTCTTGTTGATAGTAAGAGTTGACACCACACCGTCTGCTCTCTGTTCCTCGTTCACATATCGACCATCCTCTGTACAAACACAAACATAAACACGGGTTACATTATATAAACATGGGTTAAAAAACACACGCTACATATTTAAACAAACATAAACAGGGGTTAAAATCATACGTCACACACACACACACACACACACACACACACACACACACACACACACACACACACACACACACACACACACACACACACACACACACACACACACACACACACACACACACACACACACACACTACAAATTAAAACAAGTCCAAAGTTGGGATACAAACACGTACAAAAACACGCACACGTGATTATAACATATACAGTTGTAGGTAATCAGAAACATGATTTACAAACACTATTATGAATTATAAATACAAACAACAGGTTATTAGCACACACAAACATGAGTATTAATCTTCTATAGACAAACACAAACACAAATAAACAAACAAGGGTCTCTCTCTCTCTCTCTCTCACACACACCAGATACCCCTCCCTCTAATTACCCCAACCTTACCTGAGACGACGAGAGCACCTTCCCTGGTCCATGTGACAGAGACAGGATGCGGTACAGCCACAACACCGCATCTCAGGACCGCAGGCTGCCCCTCAGGAACCGCTACCACCGCTTGAGCCCTGATCAAAGGAGGCCCCCGTATCCTCAGGTGGACGCGGCCCTCTAGAGGTGAAAACCCTGGACTACGGGCTGAACACACGTAGAGTCCAGCACTGGTTGGTGTCGCCGATACCAACAGTTCTGGACCTCTGCCTACCACCTGTGAGATGATTTAGCAGGTGTTAACAGGTGTGTAAAACTAAATGTAAGAAGTTTATGAGAAGGTATTATTATTATTATTATTATTATTATTATTATTATTAGTAGTAGTAGTAGTAGGTGTAGTAGTAGCAGAAGTAGTAGTAGTAGTAGTAGTAGTAGTAGTAGTAGTAGTAGTAGTAGTAGCAGTAGTAGTAGTAGTAATAGTAGTAGTAGTAAAAAAAAAGTAGTAGTAGTAGTAGGGCTTACCTTAGGGTTGTTGGGTCGTGACCAGGTGATGTCAGGGGGAGGGTTAGCGTCCACTCGGCACTTGAGAGTCACCCGCTGGTCTGGCTCAGCTGACTGGCTGCTCGGCGCCGTCACGAACAATGGCGCATCTGAAACATCAACAAAGGTTCGAAATTTTAGGTTTGGGGCATAATTTTGACGCTAAACAGCAACAAATTAAAGACAATTTTTGGTTTTGCGTAAATTTTGCGTTAAAAAGGAAAAAAATATTTATTTTTTACGTGTGAAAGAACAACAAAGTATTGATTTTTGTTTTGTTTTACGCGGTTACAGTGATATTTTTTACCCAGAAAAAGTTTTTTTTATGAGGGGGCAAACTCCCTGATGCTTCTGAAACACGCTAATTGTGCTAAAAATATCAAGAGTGAAATGCACACATGCAAGCATCTCTCATTCACAGACGCTTTTAAAACACGCAAATACAGATAAAAAAATACACAAAACACACAGACAATAAAACACAAAACAAACACACAAAGGCACACACACCAAATACGAATACATACACCTACACGCACTCACCAAAAAACAAACACACACACACACACACACCTACACGCACTCACATAATACACAAACACATATACACACACACGTAAAACACAAATATACACCTAGAGCCCCCCCACACACACACACCCCCCACAATAACACACACGAGAAGACTGAAAGGCTAAATCGCCAAAAATATACGAAATTGTTTTGTAAAGGTCAATGGAACGTCGGATGAAACACTACAAAATTTACAAAAAACAAATACACAAAACAAGAACAATTACAATCAACCAATAAACAAATGAATGAACAAAAAAAGATACAAGGAAATAAATTTAAAATATAATATGGATAAATTTATGAACACAAGTATCGCATTTTATCGTCTCCTCGTTTAATAATCATGTATGAGGGTGCAATATAATGTTGCATAAGGTATTGGAAAAAAGTTGAATTAATAAATACAGGATAATACAGTATAAAACTGCAGGAAACTACAATATAATGCAGACTATCATACATTGTAAAATAATACAATAGAATACGACATATAATACAGTGAAACAATACTACGCAGATCTATACAAAATACAATATTATAGCCTCAATAAATATAACACTACAACTATTATAATCGAAATACACCATCATAAAACAGACAATTTTATAATACAAAAAAATACAATAAGTATAAGGAGAGATATATACGAATGAAAAAATATCAAAATACAAAATAAAAATAAAAATATTGAAAAAAAATAGTTAAAAAATACTAGAACTGAACTATAAAGAAACCATACAAAATATAACTTTTAAAAATATCAAAAACAAAAAAATATAAATAAAATTCTAAAAATAAATATTATTGAAGATGGATAACAATAATAGAACCAAAACACCAGAAAACAAAAGTACTAAAGGAAAAACGAAAACAAAATCAAAGAGTGAGGACGAAAAACAAAATTACAAAACATTGGAATGAACAAAGAAAGAACAAACACAATTTTATGACAATAATCCCAAAACTAAAATTGGAAGAATTAAACACAAACACAAACTACGGAATATAAAAGCACACAATACCTAGAATATTACTGTAAAAAAGCGACCAACACGATATTGAAAAAAAAAATCAAGAAATGAAATTAAGGAAAATTTATAACACTGCTTCGGAAACTTTTTCAAAGTAATTTTAACTAGCGAGACTCAGGAGGGTCTCTCTCTCTCTCTCTCTCTCTCTCTCTTATCTTCTTTGTCTATATCCACACGTCTGACTACTAAGAAACTACTAATTACTACCACCACACACCACCACTTCCACCACACACCAACAATACCACACTACCACCACCATCACCACCACCACCACACATCACCAACCAAAACACATCCACCACCACCACACACCACCACCACCACACATCACCACCACCACCACACACCACCACCACCACACACACCACCACCACCACCACCACACACCACCACCACCACCACCACCACCACCATCACCCACACCACCACACCACCACACATCACCACCACACCACACACCACCACTCCACCACCACACCACACACTCACCACCATCACCACATCACCACCACCACCACACACCACCACCACCACCACACACCACCACCACACACCACCACACCACCACTACACACCACCACACCACCACACCACCCATCACCACACACACCACCACACCACCACACCACCACCACACACCACCACCACCACCACACACCACCACTCACCACACCACACACCACCACTCACCACCACCACACACCACCACTACCACCACACACCACACCACCACCCACACACCACCACACACCAACCACACACCACCACCACACCACCACAACCACCACACATACCAACCATCACCACCACACACCACCACCACCACCACACACACCACCACACCACCACCACACACCACCACCACCAACCACACACCACCACACACCACCACACATCACCACATCACCACCACCACCACACCACCACACACCACCACTCACACACCACCACCACACCACACACCACCACTACCACCACACACCACCACAACCACCACACACCACCCACACCACACACCACCACACCAACACACACCACCACACACCACACACACCAACCACACCACCCACCACACACCACCACCACCACACACACACCACACCACCACCACACCACCACCACACACCACCACCACCACACACCACCACACCACCACCACCACCACCACACATCACCACACACCACCACCACACCACCACCACCACACCACATCACCACCACCACCACCACCACACCACCACATACCCACCATACACCACCACACACCACCACACCACACACACCACCACCACCACACATCACCACCACCACCACACCACCACACCACCACACCACCACACACCACCACCACCACACACCACCACCACCACCACATCACCACCACCACACACCACACACACACCAACCACTACACACACCACCACTACCACCACACACCACCACCACCACCACACATCACCACCACCACCACATACCACCACACACCACCACTACCACCACACACCACACAACACACACCACCACACCACCACACATCACCACCACCACCACACACCACCACCACACTCACACACCACACACGCCAACCACTACCACCACACCACCACCACCACCACCACACACCACCACCACCACACACCACCACTACCACCACAACACACCACACACCACCACACACCACCACCACATCACACCACCACCACACACCACCACCACCACCACACACCACCACACACCACCACAACCACCACACACCACCATCACCACCACACACCACCACACCACCACACACCACCACCACCACCACACACCACCACACATCACCACCCACCACACACCACCACACCACCACACACCACCACCACCACCACACACACCACACCACCACCACCACACACACCACCACCACCACACACACACCACCACACCACACACACATCACCACCACTACACATCACCACTACCACCACACACCACCACACACCACCACACACCAACCACCACCACCATACACCACCAAACCACTGCTCCTCCTCACTGCACCAGGAGAATCAGGCAGGATGGAGCCGCCATTTAGGAGAGAGTCAGCCAAGGATAAGAGGACGTAATTAGTGATCAGGTCGTCATTACCACTGTGCTGATGAGAGAGAGAGAGAGAGAGAGAGAGAAGAATAGGAGGAGGAGGAGGATAAGGAGAGTGAGACGTATGCAGATTAGGTGATTGGAAGATGAGTCGCTCTATCTGGTGAGGAGGAGGAGCAGGAGGAGGAAGGGGATGACGAGAAGAGGAGGAGGAGGATGAAGGGGTGGACAAAGAAGAGAATGAAGAGGTGGAAGAGGAGGTAAAAGAGGAGGAGGTAATGATGAGAGAGGGGGAGGGTTTGATTCATATCCAAGAGGAAAGAGTGCTTTCAGCCACAACATTACCAAGAGTATGACTGTGATGTGCTGTTGAATAAGAGAGAGAGAGAGAGAGAGAGAGAGAGACTGTTCTGAACTGTGCTGCTAGGAGGACTTTGCTGTACTGAGTAAAAGAGACTGTACCGAAATAGACTATACATTCCCAATGATTTTACTGATCTCATAGAATCATTTGTATAATTTTTCCCTCTACTTATGAAAACTGCCTCAGATGTCTTACCATATATGATAGACCCTGTTGATAGTGTCTCTCCCTCGTACACACAGATGAAATATAATTAATCAGTCGTATCAACGGAGGCACAGTACCTGGATCAAGCCATTAGGGTGGGTGAAAGTTCTCCTCCATATATATTTGACTCTTACCTCTGTCATCACCCACTTAACCCTGGCCAATGATAATCCAAACTCAATCTTCCGCTCTCCTGGAGATTAGCCCACCCGGTTTATTTCACCATATAATTAAACATCCTAATGCTGTGCAGGATAGGATAGGATAGGATACGACAGGATAGGATAGGTTTAATTATGTTAGATTAGGTTAAGTTAGGTTAGATGAGCTGAGGTTATCGTTAGGGTGGTTAGGTTAGGTTAGGTTAGGTGGGCTGAGGTTATCGTTAGGGTGGTTATTATTAAGGTGCACTAAGCTAGGAGGGGTAAAAATCTTCAGGTGATACCAACTTTATTACCAGGTGTTGTCTTTAAGTAGCCAAACGAATATGCTTTACCACTTAAGTTCGAAGGTTAATGAGTGTTGACTTGTCATCACCTGTGCACACCTTTGTTACTTATTGGCCGTAACCTGTGATTATAGGATCCGCCTAACTCACTTCCAGGTGCTTCATGATTTACCTGGTGTTGAAACCCTCCCTTTGGCTCTCTTTGTCTGTCTGTTTGTCTCTCTGTCTGTCTGTCTGTGTCTGTCTGTCTGTGTCTGTCTGTCTATCTCCTTCCCTCACCCAGTATATACCTCCTCTTACAGAAAGTATAAACTGCACATTACAGCAATACGCCAGGACTCTCCCTCACCCTAGTTAAGTAAACACCATTAATCTACACCTGTACCAAGCGTCAATCATCACTCACTTACAATGACAGATCGTGAAGTGTGGCGTCATGGCTCAGAGGGACGAGACAAGCCGAGTAAACAGGGGAAGTAAGGTAATAATACACGCTAACACAGGGAATAGGAACAGGGACTAAAGAAAAGATGGGATGGATAATAGAGAAAGTAAAGAAGGGTGGTGGAGGGAATGGGTAGAGGATGATGATGATGATGATGATGACACACACACACACACACACACACACACACACACACACACACAGGTATACAGTAATATTTCAAAAGTCATTTACCAAAACTCCTACATTTATTCACAAAGAGACACACAACCACAGCTACTATCATCAATCATCAACCAGAACTTCCTCCATGTCTGTCATCAATCATCAACCACAGTCTCTACCACCATCACTACCACCATCACCACCACCACCACCACCACCACCACCAAACACTGAACCAGACAAGAGTCATTTGTCAGTTGTTGTGTAGACTCGTCCGCAGTAGAGATTGAATACCGGTATCTTTCACCCTTCTATTCGACTGTGCGTGTGTGTTTTTTTTTGTATAACAGAAAAGAAAATCCTATTACGTTATCGAGTCAATACAGTGCTAAAAATTCTCTTCCTGTGATAATGTCGAGATTCTTATGTTCTCTCTTCCTGTCTCTCATCCCTGTGTTTGAGGCTTTTTTTCATGTATATTGTTTATTAAAGTAACTGAGCATATATAGAGCTTTTTCTCACTCACGTATTCCCTTGTCTGTCTGTCTGTATTTGACTATGCATCGCTCTATTTAAGAATCTATCAATCATTTATCTATGATTTGATATACATACATACATACATACATACATACATACATAATCTATCACACACACACACAACTGCAACATTTGAAACAACTCTGCGACAATATAGTAACAGCTTAATAGCCCTCGTTGACACTGTAAACCATTGAGTCATGGTCGTCACAGGTCGTCAGGATATGTAATTAAAAAGCTTTATTTATTTACACTAGGCAAATTATCACCACAAATCGTAGCCGAGAATTTTGAGGCAACTGAAAATTTGGCATCAAACACATACCATGCAAATAATTTCTCACGTTACTACACCTGATTACTTAATTAATTTTACTGCCCTGACGTCCAGTATAGTTGGCAAAAATTATATACCTGCACTGTAAGTTATATAATGTGTGTGTGTGTGTGTGTGTGTGTGTGTGTGTGTGTGTGTGTGTGTGTGTGTGTGTGTGTTGCATCAAGACGAGTGAAACAGGGAACGTTAATCTCTCTACGGTATTGCACACCACACCACAACACACCACACACCACACTACTCCTACATCACACCACATACACCATACCACACTACACCACCACACCACACTATATCACACCCACATACCATACACCATAAAACACCACACATCACACAAACGCCACCACACACCACATTACACACCACACTACACTATACTACACCACATTACCACATTACACACCACACCACGCCACACCACACCACACTACACTACACTAAACCACATTACACACCACACCACACCACACTACACTACACTACACCACATTACACACCACACCACGCCACACAACATTACACACCACACCACGCCACACCACATTACACACCACACCACACCACAGCACTATAAGATATACTCACATTTCACATTGAGAGACTGCGTTTTCCGCGTTGTTCCCACGGCGTTGGTGACCTCACAGGCCACGGGGGAGGCGTTGTCTGCCCGGGAGAGGACCCCGAGTGGCAGCGTTGACCCCTGGGCCCCCGCCACCTCAGACCCGCCTCTGAACCAGCGATACGTGACCTCCCCCGGGTTGGCCTCCACGCGGCAGGTGACCGACGCCTCCACGCCCTCAGACAGCTCCTCTGTAGACCAGGTGAAGATGTTGTCCAGGTGAGATGATGACGGCAGGTGTGTGACAATGGTTACTCTTATTCCAACTTAATTCCCTACTCTGTTACTCACTGCCTACTCTGTTACTCACACCCTACTCTTATTCACTCGCTACTCCCTTTCCTTACTAACCTACTCCCACCTTACTTTAACCAAGTCCTTACTTCTCTACCTTACTTATTCATCAACTAATCTCTGTAAAGTAAGTATTTTATCTACTTAGACATATCTTTTAAAGCCATTAATAATTCTGTCTTTTATCACTACTTCTGGGAATGTGTGAAAATGGCTTAAGTCATAACTGTCTAATCATCTTAATTCATCATACCTGGAAGCTAATTATTACGTCAATCGCCTAATCCCCTAATCCTCTTATTAAAGTTTAATGAGGGTGATTAAGGTCAAACCAAACACTTACACTGGATAGATTTACACAGCCCTATTTGCGCTAAGCAAAGGGTGATTAGGGTATTTGCCCCAGACACACACACACACACACACACACACACACACACACACACACACACACACCTGGGGAAAATTGGAGCTGGACCTCGGGCGGGTATTCCACATTGAGGCGGACCTTGGCAGCCAGAGGAGTATGGAGGGCGGGGTTATGGGTGAGGCAGGTTAAGCTGCGGGCGTGATGATGCCGCGTGGGCGTGAAGGTGAGGGTGGCGTGGGCGTTGACTCTCTTCTCATCCTCCATAAGGTCTTCAGAGAGCTGGACGCCCGAGTGAATCTCCGCCCCCGACCCGTCCAACCACTGGATCTATGGGGAGAAGGTGAGAGATGGTTGAGACACAGGTGAGACAGGTGAGAGATGATTGAGACGTAGGTGAGACAGGTGAGAGATGATTGAGATATAGCTGAGACAGGTGAGAGATGATTGAGACGTAAGAAAAAGTGAGACATGTGAGTGTGTGTGTGTGTGTGTGTGTGTGCGTGTGTGTGTGTGTGTGTGTGTGTGTGTGTGTGTGTGTGTGTGTGTGTGTGTGTGTGTGAGAGAGAGAGAGAGAGAGAGAGAGAGAGAGAGAGAGAGAGAGAGAGAGAGAGAGAGAGAGAGAGAGAGAGAGAGAGAGAGAGAGAATGACACACAGGTGAATATCTAATTAAAAAACGCAATTAAAGACGGGAAATATTATTATCATTACACAAATAAAACAAAATGAGTGACATAATAACCGGTAAACATCATTAACTTATTTAGAGCCGAGAAAAAGAGGAAATTGGTATGAATTAGTATGATTTTTTACGCTAAAACAAGACCCAAAAAAATAATTACAGAAATACCTTTCCTTCGCGTTTCAATATTCATGAATTTATTTTACTTGCAAAAGTTTTATCCTTAAAATCAAGAAAAATTATAATCTAGCCCTCAATTGTCTATTCTCTTCTATTTCTTCTTTTCTTCCCTCAAACTTATTCTAATATCAACACAATTCCTCCATCTTTCTTTATTATGATCTATCCTTCTATGCGTTTCTTATCTGTTATCACTCCTGTATTTACCTCAGGTGCAGGTCGGCCCCCACTGCTGGAACAGGTGAGAGTTAAGGGAACACCCGCTGTGGCAAAAGCCGGGTGGGTGACGGTGGGTGGCTTGGGTGGCACGAAGACGGTAAGCCGCGCTACCTGAGACCTGAGTGGCAGCTCCGTCGCCGAGGAAACTTGGCACTGGTACTCGGCGTCATCCTCAAGTGTCACGGGCGAAATTCTTAGGCTAAAGTCACCTTCCTCATCCGCCCCGATCATGGAGTACCTGTGGGAGGGGCAGAAGGAGGTGTGTGTGTGTTAAAGGATTGTGAGGCAACTGAGATACATTAACATTGGGGCCTTAAGCATAATGGTCTATTAAAATTGCGGGCCTATAAAAATTAAGAGTCCAATAGGTATGTATGTATGTAGGTAGGTAGGAAGGTACGAAGGTAAGTAGGTAGGCAAGTAGGCAGGTAGATAGGCAGGTAGTTGAGTAGGTAGGTAGGCAGGCAGGCAGGCAGGTAGGTGAACAGGTAGGTAGATAGGTAGGTAGGTAGATAGGTGCTGAGGCTACACCACGAGGGGAGATATTACACACAGTGGGAGGGAACGAACCAGATTGTCGATACCGAGAGGAGAGATCATGTACCAGTGTCTACGGTGAGAGGGGAGGAGAGGGGAAAAGAGGGTGAGAGAGAGGAGAGGACAGGAGAGGGGAAGAGAGGCTAGGAGAGGGGAAGGAAGGGGAGGAGAGAGAGAGAGAGAGAGAGATAATCAGAGGTAGTGAGGGGAGAACCTAGGAGATAATCAGAGTAAAGTAGTGAGGGGAGGAGGCAGTAACCTTCCCCTCAATGAGGCTAAAATATACACTGTGGAGGTGTATGGTGAGGGGAGAGAGAGAGTAGGAGGAAAAGGAGGAGGAGGAAGAGAAGTGGCAGGAGGAGGAGGAGGAAGGGGAGGAGGAAGAAGAGGACGAAGCGGAGGAGGTCAACAAAAAAGAGGAGGCGGAAGAAGACGAGGACTTCAACAGGATGAAGAAGAGGAAGATGTCAACAGGAGGAGGTGGAGGCGATCATCAACAGAAGGAGGAGGAGGTCATTGTGAGGAAGGGCTCCTCTTAGGGACCAATAAGACGTGTCATAAAGCCAACAGCTGGACACATAAAACAACACCCGCCACCACCACCCTGACCCATTCTGACCCACCCTAACCCACCATCACCCCTCATGGCTCATCCTCACCTATCCTAACGAACCCTGACCCACACTAACCCACCATCACCCCTCACGGCTCATCCTCACCTATCCTAACCCACCCTGACCCACCCTAACCCACCATCACCCCTCACGGCTCATCCTCACCTATCCTAACGAACCCTGACCCACTCTAACCCACCATCACCCCTCACGGTTCATCCTCACCTATCCTAACGAACCCTGACCCACTCTAACCCACCATCACCCCTCACGGTTCATCATCACCTATCCTAACCAACCCTGACCCACCTAACCTACCCTAACCAATCCTGACCCACCGTAACCCACCCTGAACCACCCTAAACTACCCTGGTACACCCTAACTACACAAAATCCCCCACCCTCACTAACAAGGAGATATGATACCCCCCCTCCCCCCTCTCTCTCTCTCGCTCTCTCTCTCTCTCTCCCATATCTAAAAATATCCAGACCAAAAGCAGCTTTTTCGTACTGTACCGTAAATGAGACCCTCACTGATGACCTATATACACAAGAGTAATCTATCTATCTATCAAATGTATGTATGTTTGTATGTATGTATGTATGTATCAATTTTCTCTACCTATCTACTCGTAAGTATATGCCATTCGATCTGTGTAGCTATCTACCTCCTTCCCTTTCTCTCCCCCCACGTTCTCTGTGTCTGTCTGTCTCCGCTACTCACCTTTCAAACCCCTCCAGTCCCCTCTGTGTGCCCAGACCAAAGCCGTCCCTGGTCCACTGTACAAGGCCTCTCTGGTTGATCACCCTACAGGGCAACACCGCCGTCGACCCCAGCACCGCCGTCTGGTGGGAAGGCATCGTCGCGAACGCCTGCTCTGCGACTCTCTGTTCCCCCGCCCCCACCACGCCCCACGCCCACGCCACCAGCGATAGTACCCGCAGTAGTCTCATGCCCTGTGGAGGAGAGAAATAAATGAGAATTAAGATCATGAGGAATTTATAATAATAATAATAATAATAATAATAATAATAATAATAATAATAATAATAATAATAATAATAATAATAATTATTATTATTATTATTATTATTATTGCTATTATTGGCGTCACTAATGTAATAAAAAGCTTCATTATTCATCCCATTACAAAATAGATAAATAAGAGATTCACAAAGAATAAAAACTAGCGCGACAAACTATACCGAGGACAACAACACACAAACAGTCTGGACAACATAAGGGAAAATGGCATGAACAAACAAGACTCACAACAACACGATGAATCTCGAGGCCCTGAACGACACAGTTTCGTTACCGAGTGAAACAACTAGCGACAAAAGCCTGCACTGTCACCACTACGCCACCAAGAGCACTGAGCGGTGTCTGGCGTTCTCCTTCAACCTCAGCTGTACTGTTACTATACATGCTAATGGAAGCTGCGCCAGACGAACGTTCTCCTGCCTGATATTTACAAAGGCGTTTGTTTTAAAGGAAGACACGTTCATATGAAGTAAGAGCCACTCAGATTCGATGGTAAAACGTTCGGACTGTAATTATTTATATGTTTTGTTTATTTTCCTTACTAACTTACTAACTAAACATACACTGAAATACCGTATGTAAATCTGTTAAATAAGTACATACACGTTTCATAAAAATAATATATAAATTACTCTAGATCAATAATATTAAGAGTGGGTAGAACACTTGGTATCTTGTAAACAACCAGGGAGGAATTTGAACCCGTGTCTGTAAGGCGATTCGGTGCCTCGACCCCGGCCTTTGTTTTCTACTCGGCGAGATAGACTCCAGGAGCATAGATTCCTACCACCACATAATAAAATAGAATCCTGGAGTCTTAGATTCCCTATTAATATTCCTGTCATCTATTGAGGATTAAATTATATGATCTGAAACCTTAAAGTGAAACACCTTCTTGTGTCTCTCAAACAAATACGAAACAAATATTGACGTAACATATACCTCTCTCTCTCTCTCTCTCTCTCTCTCTCTAACCCAACAAGCTAAGCACTGAACTGGTTTTGATTGGCTCCTGCGCCCCTCACACTCCCAATGACGTCAGCATGTTATTGATGTGAACAACCCCACCTATAGTTAAGTCATGGGTGGTAGTTTCTGGTTACAAGGAAAGCGCATTTCAGAATATCTCTCTGTTATGAATGAATTTATATGTGGCATGGAAGATTAAAAAAAAAAATAAAATAAAATTAAAATAAATAAAAAACTAAAAATAAAATAATAATAATAATAATAATAATAATAATAATAATAATAATAATAATAATAATAATAATAATAATAATAATAATAATAACTCAATCCATCTCAATCATTAACAAAAATAACACAAAGAAGAACGAGCAAAAATAATTCAATAGAGACAAGAGAAAAAAAACAAAAAACAAAAACAACATGGAACACACACACACACACACACATACACACACACAAACTCAAACACGTTCTTCATTATTAATTGGTTCGTGAGACACCTTAATCACCTGTAGGTTATAAGACAACCGTAATAGAAGGGCAGGTAAGACCGGGTGAGTTATAGAAGTGTCACAACCCCTTGTATCACGGGTTGTAAGTTAGGATTCGGTGTCACTAACGAGTATTTCGGGTTCATGAATGTGTGTGTGTGTGTGTGTGTGTGTGTGTGTGTGTGTGTGTGTGTGTGTGTGATAATTGGGTGGGTTTGTTTGTTTGTGTATTAATTTGATTATTTGTTTGTGTCTTCTTCCCACCGTCTCCTCTATTCTCCCCCCTATAATTCTCCCCCTCTCTTTATTCCTACATCCTCCACCCTTCCCCTTTTCTCCCCTTTCTTTACACCTCCTAATCCCCTTCCCTCATTTCTCCCTCGCAATCCCTCTCTTCCTCTTTCACTTTTTCCTAACCCTTCATTCTACTCTCCCTCCCCTTCTTTTCCCTCTCTCCTCTCCCACCTTCTAAATCCTCCCCAATCTACTTTTCCTCCCCCTCCTCTCATCCCCCGCCTCCACCTCCTCATCCTCCCCTTTCCTCCCCCTTTCTAAACCAAACAGGGAGTACATTACAATATTTCGTTTCTCCCCCTTTTCTTAGAGCCGAGGGAAATAATAGGAAACCTGAGGGAGGAGAGAGGAACGTGAAAGGCCCCTCCCTCCCCTCCCCTTCCCCCACTCCTCTCCCCATCTTGTTGGCTCAATAAACACTGTGGCTCCTTTAATCATCCTAGGCTACAAGTGTGCCATCATCCCCTCCTCCCCCCTCCTTCCTCTTCTTTCTTCCTTCCTCTTTTCACCCTCCCTGCCTTTATTCTCCTTTCCTTCACCCTTCCTTCCTTCTCCTCCTACTTCTTCCCCTCCTTCCTCACTCACCTTCCTTCCAACACCTCCTCTTCTTCCTCACCCTCCACCCTAACCCACCCCCCCACCCTAACCCCACCCCCACCCCTAACCCCCCACTCCTTCCTCCTCTCTTAGAAATCTGTCATATTTATTTCATTTTGGATTTTTTTTAAATGATTCGCTAAGACAATTAAGAGAGACTAAGATAAACTAAACTAACAAGAGAAATAACAAATACTAATTATATGTTTAAATTAAGGAAGAGGTGATAATGCTAAAGATACTGGGTGAAATTGATAAATAGATAGAAAAATAGATAGATAGATAGATAGATAGATAGACAGATAGATAGATAGAAAATACGGGTAACACAAAAGTGATATAAATCATAAATTCAACTCACAAACGTCCAAGACTTAAAAGGTTCGAATGTAAAAAAAATATAAAATAAAAAAAATAAAATGTAAATGAAACTGTAAAAAAAAACCTCTAATAATTGAAAATGAAGAAGAAATCCTCCAAGGAATAAATTAGGTAAGTTCTAGCTTGGCTTAGACGACACGAGAAGCGTTTTTAGCTGTGAAATGCTCAGCTAAGTTGCGGTGTTGACTTTGAGCGTCTTGAAGAGTTGGGACGGTGAAGTGTGTGTGAGAGGGAGAGAGTGGGAGGAAGAGAGGGAGAGAAGAGGAGGAGGAGGGGGAGGGGGAGTGTGAAGTAGCCGGAGAAACTGCAGAGGAGAGGGATGGTGAGGGGGGTGGAGAGGGAAGATGATGGAGAACTGAGAGAAAGAAGAGAGAGAGTGAGATTTTAACAGGAGATTGAATATGGGGAGAATGAAATGGAGCAGGAGGAATGAGAAAAAAAGAGGAAGAGAGTGAAAGATAAGGAGGGAGAATGAAGGAAATGGAAGAGAATAGTTGGAAATTGGGCACAGAGAGGAGTGAATATCAAGGCCCCAGACCGTTAGATTCTCTGATGATAACTAGTCAGCTCTAAGCGATCAAACATTCACTGAGTAAATAAACTAAGAGTCTTGGGTAGAAAGTCTCTCTCTCTCTCTCTCTCTCTCTCTCTCTCTCTCTCTCTCTTTCTCTGCCTTTCTATTTGTTTTATTTTCTCTATGACCTGTTGTTCTTTTTCTTTTTTTATCTCTCATTCTCTCTACGTGTTTATTCTCTCTCAATTTCCTTCCTTTCTCTCTGTTTCCTTCTTTCTCCTTTATTTTTTCTTTCTCTATGCTTATATATTTCTCTTTATGCCATTTCTTTCTCCTTTTACATATCTCTTTTTATTCTCTCTCTTAATATCTCTCTCTCGCAATTTTCTTTCAGTTTTCTGTTTATTTTTTGGTCTATCTTCATCTATTTCTTCATATCTTTCTTGTGACCCATAAGGAATTTCTTGATATATAAAACCAAACTAAGTCATCACACTCCAACAACAACACAGGGATAACGAGCACACAGTCAACCAATCACATTTCACGAGATGGATGGCCGACCAAACACATCTTGCGTTACTAAGTGCCATAATCTTCCATTGTGAGCAACGCTGATGATAAACCAATGAAAATCCTGCAATATTTAAGAGCAGAATAACGATATCTTGCAAACCTACACAGCCTACCAATCACAGTTCACAACACAAAAGCTACCAACCAATTACAAGCCATCCTGGGCAAAAGGTGGGCCAATAGCCACCTCACCCCGGTCTGCGCTAATGAAACTCTTTAATAGTTCTCTCTGAACAGCGAACAGACGCCACTGCGCTGTGCTGTCCCTGCTGTTGATGGTGCTGTTCGCTTACAGCTTGAAAACGCTGGGAACAGCATTTAATTTCCCTCAGCCATAATGGCAATAACCAACAGCTGTGCTCTTCTCTATTTTCTCTCCTGAAGAAGAAAACGGGATTTTGCTTTGTTTTTGTTTTTTCCTGTGCGCGCTTTCTCTTCTCTGCTCTCTCCAAAACCTATTTCAGCGAATTCCGTCCATCATTCTGAAGCGACAAGAGACAGAGGAATGCGTCAGCCGGGTATCAGATAGTACAAAAAGCGTCATTAATCCCTGGAGCGAGAACACAATAAGATCACAAGCTGGACGGGCGAGGCGATGGACACAAAAACGGGGTTGTAAATACTTTGATGCCTGACAGGAATCACTATAACGCTGCCAATCACACCATCATCACGGTAGTCAGAAACTCTTAACTATTCATAAAGCACTTAGAGCAATGTTGAATCATTATAAGAAAACAACAAAAGAACGACACAAGCGCTACAAACACTAGAACCTTCACAAAATTAGCAAACACTGCAACGTTCCCCAGCTCTCCTTAGCTATAACCCAGAGGTAAAGGTTCTGGTCGTTGGCAACACTGAGTTTAGTATAAAAGTTTCCCCTCAAAACAGACTCAGTGTCGCCAACGATAGGTAACACACCTTCCCAACAGATTAGTCCATCAGATTCACAACAATAACCAAACTATTCCCATACAAACTCCCTCAGACTTCCGTAATACTCCTAAAAACAAAAACAAACACTAGACAATAACAATATCGTTTGTGATATAAAGAAGGACACCAAGGAGGGCGGAGCTTGGGC